GAATTCGAGGTCATTGACGTCTCATTTATCTGTTTTGACAATCCAAAGTCTGCTATCTTTGGTTGTTTTTGATGTATCAAAATATTCTTTGAATGCTATGAAATATGCAAAATTATCAAAGAATCAGGAATTAAATTTTATAAAGGATGAACGAAATAAATGTATAAGAGGAATAAATTCAATAAAAAATAAAGTCATTATAATATACTCACAAGGTCTCTATGAATAATATTATTTTTATGTAAGAATAAAAGGCCAAGCACTATCTCCTTAGCAATATGTAATTTATCTGCCCACTGTAGTTTTATAAAATTTGACTTTAGGTATTCTCGCAGATTTCCTTCATTAGCATATTGTAAAACTATATTATAATATCCATCGCTATCTATTTATATTATAATAAATATTCTTAGTATAATTATTGTTTTAAATATATTGTCAATTATCCCTATATACCGAATCTCTGAGGCGCATTAAGAAAAGTTTTGTATGTACGAATTTTTAAAATAAAATTTCAAATTTATAGTTTAGTTCAGACAAAGTTTATTAAACATTCAATTTGTCCAGATTCAGTTTAGAGAGAGTTGACAGTATTTAAAAATATAAGATAAGTATCTTAATATATACCTTTAGTGATCCCATAGAATGTAATAATATTTGGATGGTAACCAACTTTTCTTAATAGTTTAAGCTTTATTACATAGATTATATAAATTATCAATAATTTATGTATTAATTCAGTTTTAATATAATTTACCTCATTAATAAAATCTTTAATGATTTTTTCATCTAAATTTGTATCGACCTTAAGACATTTGAGAGCAACGGTTAATTCGCAGTCTTTCCATTCGTATTTAGAAACTGTTCCAAAACCTCCTGTACCAATTACTTTACGATGTGTAAACTCATTATATTCTAGATAATTAATATATCCTTCTGAAATAGCTTTTTCGAGCCATTCTTCTGAAGTATTTGCCATGATGTTACGTAGTGACTTATCGTTATTAGTATAAAATGCATTTATACTATATTGCATTGCATACGTGACACTACATTTTAATTTTCCACATGGAGCAGAATTTTTTAAAAAATCATCTAACGCTAATTTAGAATTTATTTTTTAAAAAAGAAAATTACTTAATTTACACCAAGTGTTTGTACACTGATATTATTTTTTAATTAATGTAACAGTAAATCGAAATTAAACTAATTTTTATAAAAAATAAAGCCTGATTAAGATTAGGGTTAGGATGAGGCCTGGGATTTTATCTAGGTATTAGATATATGCAAAATTTAGCAAGGAATTTTTTTATTAGAGCCCCAAAAGCAGTTTCATAAGCGAAATTTTGAGATATTGATTATTCGTGTATGCGTACACTAGTGTACAAACAGAAATTCTCTTTAAAAAATATACCTTATTTGGCTTTACAAAAATTTTAATGAATTTTTTAATTTACTTGACTCGAATAACTCGAATTTCTATTCGAAAAAATAACTCGATCAATAATTCGAAACTCTTTAAGAGTTTAACTCGGAGTCACGAGTCCAGTCTAATATATAAAGTGATACAAAAGTTATATTTAAACCTGATTATGCATTAAAGAACGTGTCACTACACAAAATTCATTAAGAGAATGGTCAACTCTATCTTCACGTCTATAGTTATTAGAATATAATACAATCGATAATTGTTAACGTTAAGAGAATCTTACTATGGAAAATGTACAATAACACGCGGGTGCATGGTGTCAGGCAATGTGATCCTGACATAAAAATTCAAGCAAGGAAATTGAATATTTTATAAAAGCGATAGATTAGATGATGTTTATAAAATTGACGAAAGATAATTACGATATTTTAAATAATTTATATCAAATTCATCATGTAGGATATATTTATGCTAATATTCACAGTGGTAATATCTTGCAAGATAAACAAATTAGTGTAAATGAGATATCTTGGATCTTGAATCATCTAAAAACGTTTCTGAAGGTAATATTTATGATGTCATTCCTTATGTTGCTCCAGAGGTTTTATTAGGTAATGAGTTTATAAAAATTGCTGATATATATGGCTTTGGAGTTATTATACGTATGTCAGAAATGTCAACCGGACAAAGACCCTTTGATAGTTATAAATTTTTATTGATCTTGCAGTAAAGATTTGTAACGGATTGCGGCTTGAATTTGCTTCCGAAACTCCTGATCGCTAAATTGAATTGGCATGCAATACATGGATTCAGAATCACAAAAACAGCCTACTCTATTATGCTTGGAAAAAACTTAATAAATTATATAAAATCATGAAAGATTCGCCGATAAATTAAAGATGCTGGTAAAAATAGGTACTGTACATTATCAATAATCACACCAAAACACCAGACTCTTATGTTAAAGTCGATTCCAAATCAACAATTGTTTCATTCCGACATACGACACATATACTAACAGTTAAATATCAAAATGACTAATACATCATCGATACTGTTGTTTATAAAGCAAGAATATAAATTCAAGTGATGATATAGTAAAAAAAAAAAAAAAAAAAAAAAAAAATAACTTCGTGTAATCATTATGCTACTTAATTACAATACTCCTTTACCATTGTAAAGATTTTCTTACTTAAAACATATGAACTTGTATTTACACAACAGAATTGTAATGATAAAAATGACAAATGATAAAAATGATACAGCAAAAATGAAATGAATGATAAAAATGATATAAATAGTAAAAAAATAAACTACTATATAAAATTTACTCATGTATAACATCAATAGGAACATCTCTACTTCCATCAACTGCAAATTTACGAAAAACTCTTGCTCTCCTATTCTCACTCCACATATCCTCAAGAGCAATTTTACTAACCTCATTTAAAACTCTATTTAACTCTTTTTCTAAACTTTCTGCTTTTCTTTTTAAATTTTCTGCTTGTTCATCAACATATTCTTCTATACCAACTGCAACGGCACTTAATATCTTAATCAACCTCCATAACCTAAAAATGATCAATAATCCTGCTACTTCTCTCTGTTTTCCTTTTAATAATATCTCTAAGAAAAATGTTGCAATAACAATAATAGCATCAAATAGATGTATGAACCAATTACTTCCTTTAAAGAAATATCCTAACCCAAATATAAAAATATGCATGCCAATTTCAATTATAAAAAGGCAATTGATAATAAAGGCAATTAATGATAAGACCTCAATTAAGAAATGCTCCTCTTCGTTTATATCAGGCCAGAGAACTGTAATCACAACTGTTGTCATGACGCAGAGAAAATCCGCCAAGACCAGACAAAGAACTATCCAATGCGTTTGACGGGCTTTAAGAAATTTTTCCATATGATCACGAAAATTGTATGACTTTTCTAGTCCATCTTCTCCTTCTTGTAGAAGATGGTCGGTTTCTAAAGTGTTTGTATTCATTTTTAATATAAATTTTTATTATTGAATCAGAGATTAAGAGGCCAATTGATCATCTTAAATGTCAATTATAAACTTTAACGTTTGGTGAAATGTGACACAAGATTTCTGCACAATGAATATCTGACAATGAGGCGGCGCAATAGAAATGACGAAAATATTAATAACCTACCATTGTTTAACGTTAGCCTCAGGGGGCAAATTAAAAGTATTCACGTTCAGAACATAATACGTATTCGATCGAAATTGATACGTATAACCAAACTAGTAAATTGGCAGGATAAAGATTTTAATATTAAAAAAAAAAAATCACATGCAATGTATCGATTAACATTTAAAGTTAGATTTATGTGCATATACCTCATTTCTATTGACTATCGCCAAATTAAAAAAATTTTCGTTATAATTTAAGAAAAAAATAAATAAAATAAGATGTTATCTTTAATATTCGAAAATCCACAATTAAATCTTAATGCAATTATAACATTATTATTAATAGCCATCATTACTTTTGTTTTTATAAAACTTTTCTCTGACGATAAACCTATTGAATTCACCGTTCCGGTACCTATTGGTAGGTAAAAATTTAACGTTATGACGAATATAATGAATACAAAAATTATTTACTGTATACGTTGAATTCTTTTACAGAGGCCAAACCCGGATGGGTTGATGGAAAAATACTAGAAAAACTTAATATAAAGGTAATTAATAAATCTTTTCGAAAATTCAAAAATTCTGTTTTATTATTTAATTAATCCTCCAAACATAATTTAATATAGGATCCTCAAAACCCTGGTTATATTACATGTTATGATCCAGCAACCGGTCAATTATTATCAAATATACGTGCTCACACTGAACAGGATGTGATTAATTCTCTAAAAAAAGTTCGCAATGCCCAAAAAAAATGGGCACTAACCACATTTGCGGAACGAAGAAAAGTGTTAAAAAGTTTGTTAAATTTTATTGTTAAAAATCAGGATGAAATTTGTTGGGTTAGTTGTCGAGATACAGGAAAATCATGTAAGTTTTACAAAAAACAAATTGCCTTGATTCAAAATAAATTAATTAATGTTTTATTCAGTGGTTGACGCCAAATTTGGTGAAATACTGGCTACATGCGAAAGAATTCAATGGATCATTAAAAAAGGTGAAAAAGCCTTATCTCCTCAATACCATGAATCTAGCATGTTGTTACTTTATAAAATCGCAAAAGTTATGTTTGAACCTCTCGGTGTTGTTGCTGCTCTAGTTTCATGGAATTATCCGTATGTGTTTGATTAAATCTGCTTTTTTACAAAATAAATTAAAAGTAAACCATAGTACACTGCCTATAATTATTTAAAACATAGAGTACTTAATTACCAACAGCTCATAAAAGTTCTTTATATTACATTATAAATATCTTAAGAAAATTCTATATTATTCTAATTCCCTTTACTTTTTTTATATTTTAATATAGTTTTCACAATCTAATTGGCCCGATAATATCAGCTTTATTTGCGGGAAACGGGATTATAATTAAATCTTCTGAACAAGTTGCATGGTCATTACAGTACTATAGTGAAATTATTAAAGTTTGTTTAATATCGTGTGGTCATGATCCGGATATAGTGCAATTTCTATGTGGTTTTCCTGAATGTGGTGAAGCTCTTGTTAAAAGTGGGGTTGATGGGTTAACTTTTATCGGGTAATACTCAAATTTTTTAATTAATTTGTCAAATAATTGATTTATACCACTCCCTCATGAATTTTTCGTTATTATTTACAGTTCTCCACAAGTAGGTAAACAAATCATGTCATCTTCCTCTACTACATTAACTCCCTGTATATTGGAACTAGGAGGAAAAGATTGCGCTATCCTTCGCCAAGATGTAAATTTAAATCAGGTCATTCCTATTATACTTCGTGGTGTATTTCAAAACTCTGGACAGAACTGCGTCGGACTTGAAAGAATTCTTGTTCATGAAAGTATTTATGATGAATTTGTTAAAATAGTTGAACAAAAAATCAAGGAACTTAGAGTGGGCTGTGCTTTGAATGATGAAGAAGGTGTTGACGTTGGTGCGCTGACTATGAGTGATCATGTATATTTTCGTTCAAACTTAGATAACTTAATTCTCTTTTATATATATACCTAAAATATTTTCACATATTTATATAGCTTGACCGACTCTCCAACCTAATAAAATCTACTGTCTCACAAGGTGCAAAACTACTCTATGGGGGTTATCCCTTCATTCATCCCCTTTATCCGACTGCACATTACTACACTCCCACACTTCTCATAGATGTAACTCCCGAAATGCCAATATCCAAAACTGAACATTTTGCTCCAATAATGGTAGTAATGAAATTCAGAACAGATGATGAAGCAATTGAAATTGCAAATGCTAGCGGTTATGGATTGGGAAATAGTGTGTTTACCAGAGATCAACGAAGAGGTGAATGGATGGTAAGAAGATTAAGATGTGGTATGGTTAACGTAAATGATTTTGGTGCTACCTATCTTTGTAATCTACCATTTGGTGGTGTTGGTATAAGTGGATTTGGAAGGTACGTGTCTTTTTTTTTTTTTTAATCCATTAGAGTTATAAAATTTCATATTATTAATTAAAATCTTTTAAATATTGTATATAGATTTGGAGGAATTGAAGGTCTTCGACAACAGTGTTTAATGAAATCAATTACTTTAGATCGATTTCCATGGTTATTACAGACTTCTTTACCTAAAATTTTGAATTACCCTATATCATTTGGTGGATCCACATTTGTTTCTAATTTGATTAAAGTTGTTTATGAAAATAGATTAATTGACAAACTTAAAGGCGGTATTAAATTGGTAATTGGTGAAAGTTATAAGTATGAGTAAAAAAAATTTTTTTATTAGTATTTTCGTTATGATAAAAATAGAAGATTGAATTATATCAGTTATTAATTGGATCTTATCAAAAAAAAGTCTATGCATGAAAAAGACCATTAATGCATATACTGTTTGCGTTAATTTCTCAAAATATAAATTAGACATAATAATAAAGGCCATTGATGTTACAGTTGGTGCACTTTGCACCATATCTCACATTAGAACGGTGTTCGGTCAGTTTCTAAGATAACCATTATAAAAATTTAAGAGATTTATTAAAAAAAAAAAAAAAAAAAAACTCATTACGGCTAATTTAGTTTTTTGGACATTTTTTTTAATCACTAAAACTAAAATTTTATTGACGATCCCTTAAAATTATAATTCTTTGTTAGATGTTGGACGATCAATTGACATGTACATTACTGTAAAGTACCCTGAAAATAAAAAATCACATAAGAGAACTAACGTCTAACCGATTACCCCACCCTCCAACCGATTACTTTTTTTATTATCAATAATGTAGATCATTTTTATATATAATGTGTCAACTGTATTATAATCCCACCCCAACAGATCAATCAATACCCTTAAATTTTGGGGTACAGTCTAAATTAGCGGTAATGTATAGATTAAACACTAGCGATGCGTCCACAGTTGAAGGACTAAAATTTCATAATAAAAATCTTACTAATTGCTTTATATAAGAAGTGGAATGCCAAAAGTTTTTTGCAATAGTAAAAATCGTATAGTAAAAAAAATAAAAATACTAATATCTCGGGATCTACTAAATCGATTTTGACGATTTTACAACTTTCATTAAAAGCCAAAAGGTTAATACTTTTATATGTAAGCTAGCCCCATTCCTGCATCATAGAAAGTTTATATTATATTCCGATTTTGTTTATTATAAGGTTTGGTATTTTTTTTAACCCTTCAACTACGATTTATCCCTTAAATTAATTTGGTGATTTTAAAAGCTAGAACTACGTAGTGTTTTAGCAATTTTAAAAAATATAAATATGCAAAAAATATAAATTGCTAACAGAATAAATGTACAACACATGTATTTACTTTAATTAATTATATATTATAAATGATATCAGAACAAATATTAGCAAGATAGCTTTCATTTTACTAGGACGTCCACGACTCCAAAACTTTGGACAATGATAATAAGATGCACTACGAAAACCAATACTGCTACTAGTTATACAGTATAATAATAGTCTTGGTTGATCAACTTATGATTAATAAGTTGATCTTGACGTTCTGTATCCATTGACATTTTCTTCAGAATATGTGTCAGCTTGTTATGATATATTTGAATATAACTTGATTCTTCGATCATGTTAAAAAACAAGTTTAAAATAGATTTATTATATTCGAATTCAAAGATTTTTATTATCATTACATTCAAATTCAAAGATTTATTATCACAATAACAAAGTTAATTAAACTTTTTATTACATCAATTCTAACTTTAATCATATTTTGAATTTATTTTGCAATTTTAGCAATTATCATAAATAAAATATTTTTGAACTGAAAACAATCTCGTTTATTAAAATTAATTAAAATAAAATAAAATAAAATAAAATAAAAAATTAATTAAAATTAAGTTGGCATCACTACTTTACAGTAAACGCTTTTTTTTTTTTTTAACAACATAATCAATTTCATTTTAACTTTTCTTTATGCAATAAATTTTTTATTTTAAAGCGCGTGAGAGTGAGTTAGCAGTAAAAATATTGAATGGACTAAAATTATTGTCTTGTGTTACAGTGGTGATCATATGATGCAAATTATATGATCACCACTGTACTGTATTATGTAAATTGCTTATGTGAATTTGAGATTTATTTAAAGAAAAATATTCAAAGTTGAAAGAGAATAAGTTTATCGAACTCTAGAAGGGTGAAGCACAACTTAGACGTAATTTGTGTGAGAATTTTGTGCTATTAACTTATTATTTGTTTAAATCATTCTCTTATTTTTTCACTTTCTTTTTGCTAAGTAGAAATTTTCTTGCTACTAGACTGCAAGTGAACTAGACTAATTGAGTGACAACCTTGGTTATAACTTATAATTTTTATAGCTATTTAAAAAAAAAAACACTATAAGCTAAGAACAGAAGTATAAGGTCTGGGCATTTTATAGCACAAGATCTTTACAGTAAAAATCATAATTTTTTTTTACTGATTTTAATTTGTAAAAATTATATTATAATAGTATTCAAACTTAATTATCCTGTAATTAAAATAATATCTGTAATTTAATATAACAGATAGTTGTTGATTTGTCTATTTTATTATATTACTTTATTTTAAAAATCATCAAATTTCTACATGTTAAAAATTTTCACTCATATATTTTTAGCTAAAATATACAGTCAGAAATTTGTAATTATTGAGAAATTACAGTAGCATAGCAGGCTTTATTATGATTAGCTGATTTTGAAGATTATTTTATGTTTTATTAAATTAACGATTTTCTGTCACAAGATTGAATTTGGAGCTATGAATACGAATTCCGAGAATGCAAGACAAAAAAAAATCGAAAGTTTATACTTTGCTTTATGAGCTATCAAAGTAATTCAGTAATCCATGAGATAATTCAGAAGTTAGATAAGAAGTGTTTTATTTTACTTTCAAAATAGTGATTAATGAGAATAATAAGAAATTTATAACAGAAAGAAGTATTTTCAAGTTAAAACATAATTTAAACTAAGTAACATACAATATAAATATTTAGTTTTGTATAAACAAATAAATATTAAATACTAAAGCTTATTGCTTTTATTCTTGATTTTTCTTCATTCTTTATGTCAGTACATCTTACATGTTAAGGATATGTTGAATATGAAAGTAAGAGTAGAAGGCATTAAAAAGGTGTTGATAATCTAAGAAATTACATGTTGAGAATAGAGCAAATGTTAAAAAATGAAAGAGAGGTATGTAGTAACTATGACATAGATATTATATTTTAATAATATTGAAGGTGTGGAATTAGGATATTAAATGTAAATATAAAAATTTTTTTGTTTTTTTTTTTGTTTTTTTGTTATTAAGGCAGTTTATATTGCTAAAGGAATTTTATTAGAATTGCATACAGGATATCAATTGATAGTTCCTACTATTTGTAATTATATAAAGAATGTACAACAAGCTACATGTACAACTTTAGTTATTTTCTATTTTAAATAGTCTGCCACACAGATAATAAAACTATCTGATTAGTTCTACACTATGCTACTATACCTGTAATCTGTCTGTGAGTTATCTATTTAAATACTCTGTTTATTAACCTATACAGATCCAACCTAACATTACTGCAATACCTAACCGTTTAAGCTAGCTAGCTCATTACAGATCTATTTATTCAGAACAGCTTAGATCTTCTTGAAATATATTGTATCTAATATATTATAAGTATTACAAAGCTAGTTAATTTCAAAGCATACCTACTAGAGTAGTCTGTACTCATTTTACGAATTCATCTAGCTTAGATCCTTGTAGATATTCATACAATCTCAGTTCTTATTGTAGCTCTTTACTAGTTTTCTGTATTCTATCTTCTCAGCTTTTTATAAGGCAGATCCTTCTAATCCTGTTAGCTACTAAGCCAGATTAGTATTACAATTCTCTCTGTAGAATAGATTTATATGCAACTGACTCAATTTGTATCTTTTGATAATAGTTTCCTTTCTGAATCAAATGTTAGTCAGTATGACTGTTGAAAGCTGTACTACTTCACCAACTCAGGATTTTTACTATGCAGTTCTCTTGCTCATAGATCCTATTAAGATTTATTCATATAACATTATATCTCACCAAATGCCTTATCATACTTCCAATATTCGGATGATATTAGTGCAATATGATTTACAAGATTATAACTTCAAAAACAGACAAAGTATACTGTAAGTAGAGTACAAAGGTCTGAGTAATTATTCAAATTCATTAACAGTAGGATTTGAATTTCAGACCTTTTGTATAGCCATCTAATAATCTAACTACTACACTAAGATCGCTAGATTCTGTAAAAATTTTTTTGTAAAAATATCATTAATCAATAAAAATATGATTTTTTTTATTTATGTTATAAAAATTAATGCATAAGGAGTTATGATTGAATAATAAAATAATTTTATTATTTAAAACTGATAATATATTTTATAGTATTTTAAATTACATGTTAGATAAATTACATATTTGCTAAATTACTTATAGCCTCTTTAACAAGTAAATTTATATTACTACAATTTATATTTTAGTCTAAAAAAATTTTATTACTAGTATTATCATTAACTTTAGTAACTTTGTGACTATCTGAATTTTTAGTCTTTGCCTTCTTATTTGATGATTCTAAAGTTTTTTGAAAAGCCTTACAATTTTTCTTAATTTTACTTACAAAGTAATCAATACAATATTAGTATTAGTTTCCTAAATTAAATAAAAAATATTCAAAATAATAAGTATATCTACAGATTAGAATGCACTATACCTTGCTAGAATCTGTACAATCTTCTAAGTTATAATATTAATTATTCTGTGAGATATGTACTGTATTCTAAGCTATTAGCATTATGTTTATATTGATTTGAGTTTTTAGCATTAGAAATTCATATGCTTCTAGCTTTGAATATATATTAAATAAAATAACTTTTGACCTACTAATATTTCTATAAATATTAATAAAAAATTTAGTAAAAAAAGTGCAATACATTTTCAAAATATTTTAATTGTTTTAGTGAATATCTAATATTATAGCTTTCTGTAAATATATTTGTAAAGAAATTGTTACTGCGAGTCTAATCAATTATCTATACTTCTTGAATAATCTAATCTGCTATATTTAATCTATATATTTGCTGCTGAAGTAAGCTATAAAAGTTCTCAATATAATAATTGTTAAAGATATGAATTAAACTTATAAAAATTTGTAAAATAGAGTAGTTAGTACTAAACTAGTAAAAAATATTACTTAAAAATATCAATAGTAATTTATTA